CTCCCCACCATCACAGACATCTACACCTCCAGATGCAGGAAGAGGGCCACCTGCATCATGAAGGACCCCACTCACCCAGCACACACACTTTTTGCCCCACTCCCCTCAGGAAGGAGGTTGAGGAGCATTAAGTGTAGAACCACTAGACTGAGGAACAGCTTCTACCCTGAGGCTGTTAGACTCATGAATCTCTAACCAGAATAATCACTGTGAAAAATCATATCATGTTGCTGCTGATCTGTTTCATGTTGCTGCTGATCTGTTTCATGTTGCTGCTGATCTGTTTCATGTTGCTGCTGATCTGTTTCAATGTTGATGTGTTCATGCGTGCACATCTGCTCACAGACTCATGTTCATGTTTGTGCTGATGTTCAATGTTTTATGTTATGAGTGCTTAGTGTATATTTAGTTGATGTTTTTCTTAGTTCATATCTTAGATGTTGTTACTGTTTTTCTTATACATTTTATTGTTGGATGTAACTGGGACCCTGTGGACATAATTTCGCTCCACCACATGTACCACATGAGGTGCGAATGACAATAAAGAAACTCTGACTCTGACTGTGACAAACATTAATGTGTTCATGTTTGAAACTCCTCCACCCACAGGCGCATCTGTTCAATATGAAACTTCAACTGCTGATCCTAAACTTCTCATAGTTGACGTTCGATATTTTGGTCACACAAACAAAACTTTGTTTATTTACTGAACAAAACTTCAGTTAAATAAAATCTGAAGCTGCCGCTTTAATGAAGAAACGTTAAGAAGCTGAACACAGACCTCGTTCCACATAAAACTACATTATTATAAATATGTATGTGTGTGTTATAGTAATAATACTCTTCCATCTGTGATAAAGTACTAGTATTCTGGCAATGAAGTACTCTGACATAAGCATCAGTACTTGTACTAAAGTTGACCTGGGCTGCCTCTTTAACAGAAAATCTGTTTTAAATTACATCAACTTGTTCTGACCCACAGAACTTCTGTCCCAGTAAACCAGGACTGGTTTCTGTCAAACTGGATCCCAGTATACCAGGACCGGTTCCTCTGCTCCTAGACTGTCTGAGTCCTCACCTGGTGTTCTCCTCCTCAGCTCGTGTTCTGGTCCGGTCCGTCGGTCCCGGCGGCATCTCTCCGCTCAGAACCAGCTCCGACCCACCTGAAGACTGGTTTTAAACCCACACACACAGAGGGGTTCTCCCTGAGTCAAAGGACCTGACAGTCCAGGTGGAGCCAGCAAAATCCTGACCTACAGGTGTAACATCTGGATCCAGTTCAAAGTCCTCACTGTCACTTTACTGGACCGGAACCTACATCTACACTGGAGGGCCCCGATGTGCCTCCAAAAACCACTTCCTGCTTTGGTTTCATTAAGATTCATGAAGACTTAAGACTTTGACAGAGGCTGATCCTGGTCCGGCCCGGAGGCTGATCCTGGACCGGCCCGGAGGCTGACCCTGGACCGGCCCGGAGGCTGACCCTGGACCGGCCCGGAGGCTGATCCTGGACCGGCCCGGAGGCTGATCCTGGACCGGCCCGGAGGCTGATCCTGGACCGGCCCGGAGGCTGACCCTGGACCGGCCCGGAGGCTGATCCTGGACCAGTCAGTATGCTGCCAACAGACTTCTTTAACTTGATCATAAATTATTTTGAGTTGTGTCATCAACAAATATTAACTTATAAAGAACGAACAATTCTTAAATTCAACATTAATTATAAATACACACAAAAATACACATTTCAACAAAACGTTTAACTGAAACCTTCCTGATCTACATTCAATTCAAATTCAATTAAAAAATTCTCTGATGCTGCTCAATAATCCAGGTAGAGAAATCTAACAAGGTTAAGCCAGGTCCTCTGGATGGATTCAATAAATAAAAATTAAAATATAACAAATTAAAAACATGTAGATCAACATCATCAGGCCAGGACTCTGAGGTCTACACTCATCTCCAGGCCAGCGGTCACTCTTTCAGGGATGAAGATGTTCACATCCTGGACAGAGAGGAACGATGGTTTGAGAGAGGAGTAAAGGAGGCCATCTTTGTGAAAAGAAACCGTCCATCATTAAACAGGGGTGGAGCCTCCGGGTTCAACTGTCCCCCTCTTACAATGCTGTGATTGCTAGTATCACTCAGCCCTCTGTGAACAGTAAACAGCCATCAGGTGCTAATGATCCATTGTTAGGCTGATGGTCCTTCTTGAGCATGTGATCAGCTGGTTCTGGTTGTCAGCAGCAAACTGGTTGATCCACTCTGAGAAGGTGCTATTTAAGAGACTGAGCTGAATACAGCACCTCAGACTGAGGAAGTCTCTCGGATGAGAGACGAAACGTTTCTACATTTTTTTTATGTCCAGAGGACCAGACTCAACTTTGTCAGATTCCCAGTCACTTTGCTGTGGTTTACTAGTCACAGTTTACATCATTAGTGTGCTCCAAACTTAGAACATGTGGCCTTTGTTAAACCCTGCACAGATTCTTTAAACCCATCACGTCATTCCCATCACGTGGTACATGAGGTGGAACAAAATGACGTCATCATGCTCCCAGTTACAACCACGTCGGCTAAAATATAAAGTGTAAAAAGAAACGGTAAATAAGGATCTAATCTACACACGAAGACATACGATCAACAGTAATAATGTAGAATAATACGGTATATTAAACAGCAGCCCGGCACTCCAACACAGTTATTAAATATGACGTGTTTTAAATGAATCACGTTAAACACATCAACTAAAACGACAACGGGTAGTTTTCACGGCTGTTGGTCAACTTTAAAAGTTTCTGCCAGCTTTCAACAAACGTGACCCAAAACAAAACGGTGTGCAACTCTTCTCTTCCTCTCTACAAACATCAGCGGACCGGGTGAATGTTCTGAGGCTACTCACGGTGCGACTCGTCCCGAAACCGTTTGAAACCGACGCCATCTTCACACGTCACTTCCGCCGCACTGCATGATTGACGGGACAAGCGGCCAATCAGAGCTTCCGAAATGCTTACGTCACTTTTTCTTTACAGTTCATTAATTCACCATTATTTCTACAGGTTAGTCCCATTGAGCCTCCAGGACTCATTTACAGAGACCCGGTTTAACAAAGAGCGAGGACAACAGTGGACAATCATAAAGGATGCGTACAAATTGAGATTTATTTATAAACCAAACTGTTTTAAAGTATTAAAACGAAGATTAAAGCATCTTCTTGTGGAATACATTATTTTGTAGGCATAAATAATAATATATATATATAAATTTCCAAATATACGATATTTTAAAATATGTTTTATCCATCTCTTTGTTAAATTCAATTGAGTTTATTTCTACAGCTCCACGTCACAACAGAAGTCATCCCAGGGCACTGAACAGAAACATTAATATATAAAAATAATTTAACAGAAACATAAAAATAATAATTTAACATAAAAAAAGAGTTAAATAAATAATTAATAAGTAAATGAAAGATAAAGAAAGGAAAATACATCTTTAAATAGCCTGGTTGGGATGAGATCTAGTAGACATGTGGATGGTTTAGATGAAGATATTATTTGTGACAGTTCAGAGCTCAACCGGACAAAAACAATCCAAACGTAAATCAGGTTCTAGTGACATTTTTAAAGTTGCCTCATCTGACACAGAACCAGACGTGATAGTAGGAATGTTGGTTTGATTTTTCCCCCAATTTAAATAATTGTATTTATAAAGAATCTCATGAAGTCATCACTGATTATAGTTGTAGAGACACATGAATCAACAGAGAGACTTTTTCATTTGACTAGCTATGGTGCTGAAAAGGAACCTGGGGTTATTGTTATTCTCATCAATTAAAGATGAGTAATGTAAAGTTCTAGCTTTACGGAGCACTTTTTTATACGTTAGCAGGCTATCTCTCTAGGATAAGTAAGAGTCCTCAATGTTAGTGAAGCGCCATTTTCTTTCTAGTTTTCTGGATGTCTGTTTTAAAATATGTAACTCAGAACTGAACCAAGGAACTAATCTCCTCCGACTGACTACAGTGACATTATTTACATGAACGCTCCTACAAGCACCCTGCAGATGTTGGATGCTGCAGATGTTGGGTGCTGCAGATGTTGGATGCTTTCATGGTGCACTAAGATTCATAACTGGCTGTGGTTATCGTGCCCACCACAGCACCTCAGACTGAGGAAGTCTTTGGGATGAGGGACGAAACGTTTCTAAGTTGTTTTGCTTTGTTTTGTTTTTTGTTGTTGTTGAATGTCCAGAGGACCAGACTGAACGTTTTTGGAAAGGCTGGACGAATTTAAATAATGAGGGGGTGTAGTACCGGGCCGCGCCGCCAGGGGGCAGCAGAGCAGCTGCGGTTTGATTCGCTGCTTCTGAGCGAGAAGGAAACCAAAACAACATGGCGGCCTCCACACAGCACGTTGAGTCCACGTCCAAAGAGACAGAACCTCCAGAAAGTGACCGAACCGAAGCTCCCGAAACTACCAGATCCACCGGGGAGTCAGAGTCCGGACCGGACGAACCGGATCCAGGTGAGGAGGAGGAGGAGGGCGAGCCGCCCGGACCGAAGACGCGAGAAACCCCGCAGGACATCCGGCTGGAGGCGGCCGCCAACTCCGTGGCTCTGCACCCCAGCAGGGACGTGCTGGTGTGCGGGGACGTGGACGGAGACGTGTACGCCTTCTCCTACTCGTGCACGGAGGGGGAGAACCGGGAGCTGTGGTCGTCCGGACACCACCTGAAGTCCTGCCGCCAGGTGCGCATCTCCGATGACGGCCTGCAGCTGTACACCGTGTCCCGGGACAAGGCCGTCCACATGCTGGACGTGGAGCGGGGACAGCTGGTCACACGGATCCGGGGGGCCCACCTGGCCCCCATCAACAGCCTGCTGCTCGTGGACCAGAACATCCTGGCAACCGGAGACGACGGGGGCACCCTGAAGGTCTGTAGTGGTCCTCACAAGACCTGTCAGACACAGCTGCAGGTCCAAATGTGTCTGTTGTCCAGCACTGGTCAGTTAAATGATGTCATGGTGTCAGGAAGTCTTATCAGCCAGGTCAGCACCTGGACAGGTAAGATACTGACTGCTCAGCAAGTTCTTTTGCTGCAGAGTGCTTCTCGTTTGTTCAACCACCACGTGGACAGACCCGTCCTGCGCTCGTGGAACAGACGTGGAACTGCTTCAGAGGGTCCAGTGATGAGGTGCAGCAACAACTCGGATCAGGTGAAGAACTGTCTGAGGCCTCGTTAAAACTGGAAGGACAGCGGGGAGCAGCAGAGGCGGCTGAAGTGCTCCCATCGTGCCGAGCAGCCTGTGGGGGCAGTCCATGACCTGAGTTCAGCAGCTTGAGCAGGTTCTGGCTCGGCCATGTTCCAAGATGGCAGCGCCACGATTCATCAGCTCCGATGGTGAAGAGAGCTTCAAGGAGCGCGAGGCATCATGTTCACCTCGCAGAGTCCAGACCTGAACCCCACGGAGAGTGTGGGAGGTGCTGGAGAAGACTGAGCAGGTCTGGATGGTCCTGAGATGCAGCAGAGGATCAGCAGAGATGCAGCAGAGGATCAGCAGAGATGCAGCAGGACTGTCAGAGAAAAACAAGAAACAGGAAGCTGCATCGTCAGCATAACGTGATGACAGATGTTTCATCATCAGACTTCCTGACAAACTGATCACAGAGGTGCAGGGCAACACCCGGCCCCCCACGGTTCACTGACTGTCCGTTGTCCTCTGCAGGTCTGGGACATGAGGAGAGGGACGGCCATCATGGACCTGAAGCACCACGAGGATTACATCAGCGACATCACCGTGGATCAGGCCAAGAGGATCCTGCTCACAGCCAGGTGAGGCTGAACACCTGCCGCACATTTTCTGTTCTCTACAAGTTTCTGTTGAATTTATTGCTTAAGGAGCCTCAACCGTGTTTGTTACGTGTGATCCATCACAAACCCTGAGACCCTGAAGAGACGGCAGACATGCAGCTTTGGACTCCGGTGGTAGTAGCTGAGAGTCATTCCTGCCACATCTCCCCATGAGGCGCTCACACTTTAGTTTTTGATGGGTTGGGGTGACGGCAGCTCTGACCCGGTCCACCCTGCTCCCACAGCGGTGACGGCACCATGGGCGTCTTCAACATCAAGAGGCGGCGCTTCGAGCTCCTGTCCGAGTACCAGAGCGGAGACCTGACCTCGGTGGCGCTGATGAAGAGAGGGAGGAAGGTGGTCTGCGGCTCCAGCGAGGGGACCGTCTACATCTTCAACTGGAACGGCTTCGGAGCCACCAGCGACCGCTTCGCCCTGAAGGCCGAGTCGGTGGACTGCATCGTCCCAATCACCGACAGCATCATGTGCACCGCCTCCATGGATGGGTACATCCGGTGAGTCGGTCATGAACTTCACAATAAATGTCTGAGACGAACTAAGAGAAAGTCTTTCAAACCATCTCCACAGGTCTCAAGGAGCTGTCTGCTCCTCAGAGACGACCGCTCACTAACACGGCCTTCCTGTCCTCCATCAGAGCCATCAGCGTCCTGCCCAACCGGGTCATCGGCTGCATCGGGCAGCACGTCGGTGAGCCCATCGAAGAGATCGCCAAATCCTGGGATTCCCGCTTCCTGGTCAGCTGTGGCCACGACCAGCTGCTCAAGTTCTGGGACGTCTCCAGCTTACCTAAAACCACCGTGAACGAGTACCGCAAGAGGAAGAAGAAAGACGGGCGGATGAAGTCGCTAACCAAGAAGGCCCTCGGCGACGACGACTTCTTCTCTGGACTGGTAGAAGAAAGTGAGAAGCAGGAGGAAGAGGAGGAGGAAGATGACAGCGACAGTGGTAGTGATTAAAACTTTCAGTCGATGCACCTCCTCTGGAGAACTGAGACGGGACTGGTGCTGTGGCTGCTTCCAGCTGCTCCTGCAGCTCCATCACTTCACCTGCTACTGACAGAAGCAGCTGAAGGTGGCCTCACACATCAGATGTGAATGAACATCAGCTGAAGTTCTTTCAGCTGATTGTTTCTGGACAACCTTTAAAAATGTTGGGGAGAACACTGAACAGATAAAAGTGACATTTTGGATTGATGTGACAGAACCAACAGCTGCTCCACATCTGTCCACCTCTCCAGGCTCTCTTCCAACTGCTCCCTACCCTCACTGCAGATGGTACAGTCATCAGATGAAACAAAGTGTTCAGTTTACCTGACAAACAGACAGGAAGATGTTTCAGTGTGAAAACTGGAATATTTATATACGTACTTAGTAAATTTACCCAAAGCCTTCATCTTAAATGAGTTTAACTCTAAATATGGTAAATTATTTACAGGTGTTGGTAATAATAATAAAAGATGATGTTTTACTTTTTATGTACTTTAAAGTGTGTGATACACCACAGATATGGACACATTTCGCACGCTGTAGCTGCACTCACACAGAGACATGTAGGAGGAGATGTATGAAGGCAGCAGACCAGGAAGTGATTTAAAGATGAAAATGTACCAGTGGGAGAGTCTGCGTGAAGTTAAAGGTAGAGAATTAAACCCACCAAGTCACATGATCACTGTACGTCGAAATGTACATTAAAATATTTTATTCTTATTTAATTTTATATATGTGTCTGGGGAAGAAGATTAGGGTCAGTGTAAAAAAATTAATTTGAACGAACCATTTTCAGAGAAAAAAGTTTTTTTCATTCAACCTTTATTTAAAGAGGTTAGTGTCACTGAGCGTCAATCAATCAATCAATCAATCAACCTTTATTTCTACAGGTAAATCCCATTGAGCCTCGAGGACTCATTTACAAGAGAGACCTGATTTAACAAAGAACTGAAGAACAGACAACAACAGTCATAGAAAATGAAAAGTAAATAAAATAAAAACAAACAGGAACATGTCTGCGTTGGTTGTTGCCATGAACTTAACACTGTTTAAAATACCCCAGAGGTCAAAGGTCAGAGCTTCAGATCTCTATATATAAATTCTGATTTAATCTCAGAATGTAAAGTTGGGACATCAGAGTTGTTTTCAATGAGGTTATGTAGAGTTCAGTGACAACGAGTTGTCTCAGGGCACAGAACAGGAACTTTTGTGTTTTAATCTGACGGAATTTTAAATGGACACTAGTTATACAGCTCCTTCCTGTCTGATCAAGACAATCAAAGCTCTTTACAACACTCTGCCTGATTTATTACATTCACACAGCTCTACTATAATCAGAACTTTATCACATTCATACAGCTCTCTAGTATAATCAACTTTATCACATTCATACAGCTCTCTACTATAATCAACT